GAGGTTCAAAATGAGCCCCATATCGACTAGGCTCCGCGCACTTTGAAAATTCAGCTAGACACGCGACGCACGACCGCGACGCGCCTGAAATTTCAAAACGGGCGGAGCCTAGACGTGTTGGGGCTCATTTTGAAGCTCTTTTCAAGACGAACGCATTGGTATAAGTTTCATCAGCTTTGGGCCATTTTCTAGGCCACCAGGTGCAAAAGTTCGGCCGCCAAGGCTTTCTATGGTACCGTAACCCTAAAATGGGCGGAGCCTAGTCGTGTTTAGGCTCATTTCGAAACTCTCTGAGTTTTCTAGGTCATGAACTAGTTCTTTTGTCTGAAATTACAGTAACTTCCATGTACAGAGTGTGCAGTTTATTGATTCGAATGAAATTCAATGAATTTGGGGCGGAGCCTTTTTTTGGGGTCTGGAAATTGCTCATTTTCAGCCAAAATTTCCAGATTTTCAGCCAAAAAACGCTCTGAAAACCAGGAGAGTGGAGACACACAAAATTGGATAAAAAAATTGGGGGATTTTTTGGGGGGCTAATTAGCCATAATTAGGGGTTGAGAATCACCCAAAAAAATGAACAAAAAAATTAGAGAAAAATTTTTGGGGTGAAGAAACGCAGAGAAAAAAGGAGAAATGAAGATAAATAATTAATTAATTGAAGAAGTCCTCTTAATTGGCCAATTAACCAGACGATAATTAGCCAATCAATTCTGTGGATCGTACGTTGGCGACGATGGACTGTAGGATGGTGATGCCGGCGAGTAGGTTGGCGACGACGGGGAGTACGTTGGTGACGATGGAGAGTACTGTAATTAGGGGTAATTAAGGCTATTTAGAGGCAACTTTTTGGGTTTTTTTGGATCAATTTTGCTGATTTTACAGCTGAACATTGAAATTTTGCGTCAAAAACGTCCAATAGTACTGTAATTAGTACGAGGGTAATTAAGATGCTAATTAGGATAATTAAGGCGATTATGGCGTTTTTCAAGTTCAATTTGGTTGATTTTAGAGCCAAAGTGAGTTGGAAATCGGAATTTTGACCCTAAGTTCTGAGTTTGGGTTCAAAAAACGTCCAATTTCGTACCTAGGGTGATTAAGGGGGCAATTAGGACCATAATTAGCCTCATTAAGCTGAAAATAGCGCATTTTAGCTCCGATTTTTTGTATGATAATCACGATTTTCGAATATCCAACTCTAAAATCAACATTTTTACGTCATTCTGATCTTTGGGTAATTAAGGGGCCAATTAAAACCATAATTACCGTATCCTGGCTCATTGTGACCCGTTTTTCTCGGGTTTTGGGGTTCAAAAATTGCTTAAAAACCCCTGAAATCACTAAAAACCGGGAAACAGGATTTCGGGGACAAAAAACCTCCAATTTCGATCCTAAGGTAATTAAGGGGGCAATTAAGAACATAATTAGCCTCATTAAGCTGAAAATAACACATTTTAGCTCCGATTTTTTGTATGATAATCACGATTTTCGAATATTCGACTCAAAAATCAACATTTTGGGTCAAAATACGTCATTTTGATTTTTGGATAATTAAGGACCAATTAAGACCATAATTACCATATCCTGGCTCATTTTGACCCGTTTTTCTCGAATTTCGAACTTGAAATCGTCAATTTCGGCGCCGAATTCTCTAAAAATTGAAAACCGAAATTTTTGAGTCAAAAAACGTCAAATTTGGAGCCTACAGTAATTAATGACCAATTAAGACCAAAACTACCGTATCCTGGCTTATTTTAATCCGTTTTTTAAATTTTTTTCACCAAAAAACTGCTAACCTGATTGGAAGTGCCCGGTTGATCGGCCGGACTTGGCGTATAGGTCGGCGACGTTGGGGAGTACTGTGGCGACGACGGTGTGTACGATGGAGACGTCGGGGAGTACGTTGGCGACGTCGGAGAGTACTGTGGAGACGAGAACGCACGTGGCGACGTTGGATTGTAGGTCGGCGACGATGGGGTGTACTGAAAATAAGGATTTTTGGACTGAAAATGCCCCCAAATGTCGATTTTCGGGTCAAAATTAGCTGAGAATGGTCGTGAAATGGCTAAGAGTCTCATTTCTCCACTTAAAATGACCCCAAAAACTCAATATCGGCGTCAAAATTAGCTGAAAATCCCAAAAAAAAAGCTAGAAAAACGAACCGTCGGCGAGCTCGGACTGTACTGTGGACTCGTCGGCGAGTACTGTGGCGACGTCGGACTGTACGATGGAGACGTCGGCGAATAGGTTGGCGACGATGGGGAGTACTTTGGTGACGACGGCGAGTAGCCCTCGTAGCTTGGAGACGTTGGAGAATACGTCGGCGACGTTGGAGAGTATGTTGGCGACGTTGGCGAGTAGCTGAAATGTGGAAAAGTCTCAAAAACAGGCTAAGCGGGGGGATTTTGTCGCTAGAAAGCTCAAAAAATTGATTTTTCAGCCAAATTTCTCGAGTCAGACTGAAAATTGCCGTTTTCCAGCCAATTTCGACATTTTTAGAGCGATTTTAAGCCTGATTTTATAGATTTCTCATAACGATTGCTAGAAATCATGTTAAGCATCAAATCCAACCAAAAATAGCCTCAAAACCGGGATTTTGACGCTATAAGCTCGAAAAATCGCTAGAAATCTTAACGAATAGGATTTTCAGCTTACTTTTGGTGTTAGGCTGGAAATTGCGAGTTCCAGACGATTTTTAGGCGATTTTCTAGCTGATTTTCGAGATTTTAGAGTAATTTTTATTGAACCTCCGCAACATTTTCTAGAAATGGCTTTAGCAATTTACAGCATCACATCTAACCAAAAATAGCTTAAAACCCGGGATTTTGACGCTATAAGCTCGAAAAATCGCTAGAAAGCTTAACAAATAGGATTTTCAGCTTACTTTTGGTGTTAGGCTGGAAATTGCGAGTTCCAGACGATTTTTAGGCGATTTTCTAGCTGATTTTCGAGATTTTAGAGTAATTTTTATTGAACCTCCGCAACATTTTCTAGAAATGGCTTTAGCAATTTACAGCATCACATCTAACCAAAAATAGCTTAAAACCCGGGATTTTGACGCTTTGAGCTCGAAAAATCGCTAGAAAACTCAGGAAAAATGATTTTCAACCAAAATTTCCGAGTCTGGTTGTAAATGAGCATTTTTAGAGCAATTTTCTTACTGATTTCCATGATTTCTCGGTTATTTTTATCAGAATTACAGAATATTCGCTAGAAATCGCTTTTAGCAGTTTTCAGCATTAAATCCAACCAAAAATAGCCTCAAAACCGGGATTTTGACGCTATAAGCTCGAAAAAATCGCTAGAAAACTCAGGAAAAATGATTTTCAGCCAAATTTCTCAAGTCAGACTGAAAATAGCTGTTTTCAAGCCTATTTTTGGCGTTTTCGAAGCGATTTTCATGATTTTAAGGTCATTTTTATAGGATTTCCAGAACAGTCTTTTTCAGCATCAAATCCACTGTCAGGCTGAAAATAGTAAAAAAAACAGCTTAGAATTTGTGAATTTGATGCTAGAAGCTTGGAAAATTGCTAGAAAGCTCAAAAATAGGATTTTCAGCGTAGTTTTTCGCTAGAAATCGTGTTTTCAGCAGTTTTCAGGCAGGTCCAAATCCAACTGAAAATAGCTTTAAAACCGGGATTTTTGACGATATGAGCTCGAAAAATCGCTAGAGATCTCTAGAAAAAGGATTTTCAGCTAAAATTTCCGGGTGTGGTTGTAAATGAGCATTTTTAGAGCAATTTTCTGGATGTTTCAACGCGATTTTCATGATTTTTGCTCATTTTTCTACAGGACTATAGCTCAAAAACCGTTCATAGCCCCAATTTCCGGCCTATTCGGCTGAAAATAGTCCCTTTTAAAGCGATTTTTAGCACATTTCAAAGCCTAATTACTCACGTTGGACTTGTTGGACTATACGTCGGTGACGTTGGCGAGTATCTTGGGCTCGATGGAGAGTAGCTCGGGCTGGTCGGACTGTAGCTTGGACTCGTCGGACTGTAGCTTGGCGACGTTGGACTATAGCTTGGCGACGTCGGCGAGTAGCTCGGGCTCGTTGGACTATAACTGGGGCTAGTCGGACTGTAGCTCGGACTAGTAGGGCTATAGCTCGGCGACGTTGGAGAGTAGCTCGGCGACACTGGCGATTGCCCATGATGCGCTGGCGACGTTGGCGAATAGCTTGGCGACGTTGGCGAGTAGTGAGGAGATGTCATTGAGAATCCGGGGGATGCTGGAGAGTAGACACCCGGGGACATTCCACCGTAGGCTGGGGTTCTTGGCGAGAGAGCTCCCAGAGGATCTCCTGGAGACGCTGGTGACCATCCTCCCTCGTTGAATGGCGACGCACCTCCGTCGAGGTTTCCGGCTGGCGAGAATCCGGCACTTGGAGACATTCCACCGGTCGGGGACCATGGTCCCGAGTAGTTTGGTGTCACTCCCGAATTCCATGGAGAATGGGCTGGAGAGAATTCACGGCTGAAAAATGGCAAAGTTAGGGCTGAAAATCAACTTAAAATTCGTCAAAAATGGAATCGGAGCTGAAAATGGCCCTAAAATTAGCTGAAAATCATCTAAAATTGTCTTAAAATCACCAGAAATGATCCTGACTCTTCGAATTTCCAGAATTTCGAGCAGTTCGGATATTGATTTCAGCCAATTTCAGATGGATTTTTGATCATTTAGAGTCAATTTAGGCTATTTTCAAGGAAAATCTGAATTCTAAGCTCAAAAATGACCCAAAATCAGTCTAAAAGTGTCCTTAAGTCGCCCAGAATCGACTGAAAATGGTCCACAACGGATACAAATCGAGAATATTTTGCTTTCGAGCCGTTCGAATCGATTTCAGCCAGTTTCAGGACTGATTTCAAGCAAGGTTTAGGCCAATTTCAGCCTTAAAATGGCCAGAATCGACTGAAAATGGTCCTGAAGCGGTCTAAGCCCGTCCAGAACGGATACAATTTGGAGAAATTCGGTTTTTTGAGCGGTTTAGATCGATTTTCGGCTCATTAAGACTGATTTAAGACTGTTTTCAGGTCAAAAACCTTCTCAAAATGACCAGAATCGACTGAAAATGGTCCTGAATTGGGCTAAACCAGTCCACAGCTCTAAATTTCAAGAAAGTTCGATTTTTAACTGCTCAGACTGATTTCAGCCAGTTTTTGACCGATTTCTGCTCATTTAGGCTAATTTCAGTCTTAAAATGACCAGGATCGACTGAAAATGGTTCTGCATCGATTTTTAGACAGTTTCAGACCGATTCCAGTTTGTTTTTAACCGATTTTGGATCGTTTTAGCTCATTTTAATTCATTTTTAAGGTCCAAAAGCAGATTTTAAGCCCCAAAAACTCACGATGGTGATCCGGCGAATCCGCCACCGTAGATTCCGGCGCCCATGACGACGTTCTGCGGAATCTCCATTCCGTGCTTGCACTTCTCCACGTCCAACACCAAATCGAAGCATCCGGTACCGCAACGAGCCAGCTGTCCGAGCATAATGTTCTCCGAGACTCCTGCAAACATGCTTTTTTAGCCATTTTTAGCCAAATTCGTCTAGAGTGTTTCAGACTAATCTGAATCTATTACAGCTCATTTTAGATAAATTTTTGGCTGGAAGTGAGCCAATTCACAGCCAAATCGTGATACGGTACTTCAAAATCGTTTTAGAGCAAATCTGAGCAATTTTGGACCGATTTAAAGTGTTTTTGGCTCTAAAATGACCGTAATTTTGATTTTTTTTGGGAATAATTCGGAGCTCAAAACGTTTAAAACAGATTTTCTGAGATTTTCGGGCTGAAAATCAGTCCATTTTTAGCCAAATTCGTCTAGAGTATTTCAGACCAATCTGGGTCGATTTTGGCCTATTTTCAAACGATTTTTCAGCTAAAAATAGGTCAATTTTTAGCCGAATCGGGATACGGTAAGTGAAAAACTTTCAGGGCGTTTGAAGCTATTTTGAGAGCGATTTTCAGCTTTTCGCACTTGAAATCTGCCATATTTGGGCCAAATCGACTTTAAAGCAATTTTTAGCTATTTTAAAGGTGGGGGGACATGAAAAAAAATAATGTTCTCGATATTCCGTCTAAATATGTCCCTCGAGGAGTTGAACTTGTGAGGACGAGGATTGGGGGTGCGGCGCCGCTACCGACTGAGCCACGCGGGCAATGAGAGAGCGGCACCTCGGATGCATACATAAAGGCGAGGATGGCAGCTGTACGCAGAGTGACATAAAGCGTTGTACACCGTCACGGTAGAATGCATACTCTGGCCCCAAAAATCCCCCGTAAAATCTCCTGTCCCCCCACCTTTAAAACCAAATTTCCGACTCAAAAGTACCTTTAACCGGATCCACCTCGGCATGCACGGACGCCTCCATCAAAATATCGACAGTCTCCTCGAACGAACATCTCATCAGCGCTCCAACTTCCTGTCTGTTGATACCATGACGTGTGATAGCCATCAAGTGTCCCTTCGCCGTCATCACATCACAAAGAAGCGCCAAGTGCCGATAGTTCACATAGGATCCGTCGAACGAGATGACGTTGTCCATTTCCTTCTCAATCGACTTTCGCACAGCTTCAATTCCCAGCACCTCAAAGATCTCGCAGATATCGTTAGACGTCGTTCGAACCGGATCGATCTGTCTCTCGGAAAGAACTCTGAGCAGCGCAGTTCCATCAGTCTCCAGAATCCAATCGGCCACCGCCTTGAATCCTCCCTCCGGCGTGATGATGATTCGTTTCTTATCATCAGTGTTAGGCTGATTCATGTAGACCTTTGAGATTGCTGGAATACCCTGGAGAGTGAGATCTGAGAGCATGTTGGCTTCAATGCATCTCAAGAAGACGTCATCCTCCATCTTATCAACCTGCTCCTCCTGTCCCTCGGCTCCCTTGTCCTCTCCAGCGATTCGAAGCCGGAAAACTAGTTTCTCAGCGTTGTCATCTGTATAAATCGTGTGCACATCCTGTCCAAATCCTCCGTGGATTCTATCCGCAATCATTTCCATCGTCAGCTTCTTATCAACCATTCTCTTCCGATCCAGCTCGATTCTGAGCAACCATGGCGACGTTCTCGTCAGATCGTGATCCGGCATCTCGTAGAAAATCGATACCCACTCCTCATCCTCAGCAATCACCGTGTTCTTCGGATCCGGATCGTAGTAGATCGCAGTGTTGCAAGTGACTTTCTTCAGAGTTGTGTGCTCCAGCTTACAGAGCACATCCTTCGCCTTCTCAGGATCCTTGGCAGCGGCTCCAGTGAGGAATACGGTAAGGGATGGGGTCTTGAGCTGTTTGGATACATTGATAATCTCCTTTAATCTTGGGACTCCCAACGTAACGTTCTTGGCAGACACTCCAGCATAATGGAAGGTGTTCAACGTCATCTGAGTGGCCGGTTCTCCCAGAGACTGCGCTGCCAGTGCTCCGACCATCTCTCCGGGCTGGGCAATAGCCTGTTGGAAGCGAGTCTCGATTTCTCCTAACAGCCAATCGAACGCCTCCGTGTTGAGCTTCGCACTGGTGCACATCTTCTTCGTGCAGAGCGTGGATCGTAGGAGGATATTCATGAGCAATGTGGCGTTGTACTGCGCCTGCTTCGAGATCTCATCGTTGCCACTCACGATGATCAGCTTCTTCGACAGCTCCCGAACGCCGTTGATGACGTGGAGGGGCGAGAGGTTCACTGGCTTCCGAAGGTCCACTTTGAAGATCTTCTGAGCGTTCCAGATGAGACGTTGCAGGTTACAGGGGAGCACGATTTTGGCGTCACCGCGAGGGAAGATCTTTCGCAGGAGACGTCGATCCTCTTCGAGTTGCGACCATTCGGACTCGACGAGCGAGATGCCGTCCTGGGCCTCTTGGATCTCGCGAACGACGTCTTCAGAGTAGTTTTTGCGCAGGAACTTGTTGTCGGTTAGGTCCATCTGGAAGATTTGAGCGATTTTAAGCCAGAATTCGGGATTTTTCAGACGATTTTCAGACATTTTCGGGTCGTTTTTCAAGGTTTTGAGGTCAGAAAAAGTGATTTTGGCATAATTTCCAGCCTAAATTTGTAGGTTTCAGAGTAAAAAATCAGGCTGAAATCTGGAATTTTCAGACTTTTTAGCCAATTTCAGTTATTTTTAGGTCATTTCTCGAGCTTTTCATATTGAAATAGAGCCAAATTCTGGTCATTTTTAGCCCAAATTGTGTGATTCTTGGCTCATTTTAAGCCTAAAATCGAGTGGGAGGCTGACGTCTGGGATTTTCAACCTTTTCAGTCAATTTCAGACGATTTCCAGACATTTTTGGTGTCATTTTTCGAGCTGTTCAATTCAGAAAAACGTCATTTTGGATGTTTTTCAGGCAGAAAATGAGCAATTCTGGGGCTAAAAATGATAAAAAAAAGTGCTCAAAAGCCGGATTTTCCGATTTTTTCAGCCAGTTTTGCCAATTTCAGATAGATTTCAGACGGATTCTAGACGTTTCAACGGCGATTTCAGACCACAAAAGTCCGATTTTGAGCTATTTTGGGCCAAAATTGATCATTTTAAAGTCATTTTTTGAGGATTCTCAAGCTAAGATAGACAGAACTAAGTTTCTGAGCGATTTTCAAGCTCTGGGGAGTCGAAATATCCAATTTTCAGACTAAAATTCGAAATTACAGCTATTTTAAAGGGAATTTCAGGGTCAAAATGAACCGATTTCAGACTTTTTCCGGATCAAAAGGGCTTTTCAGATAGTTTCAGATTGATTTTCTCGTCTATTTTCAAGATTTTGAGCATTTTCTGAGCTAAAACCGAGCTCCGGGGAGCCGAAATAGCCAATTTTTCAGATTTCCCAAGTATTCAGCTTTTTAGAAGTGATGTTTGGGGTCAAATGAGCCCATTTTCAGCAATTTCCAGCTCAGAATTTTGAGCATTTTTCGAGCGTAAATGAACTAGAGGCAATTTCTAACGTCATGAGACCATTAGTGGTCATTTGGAGCAATTTTTGAGCAATTTCTGTGCTCCTAGGAGTCAAAATAACCAATTTTTAGTCAAATTATCAAATTTCGAGCCAAAATCTGGTGTTTTTGAAGCGTTTTCAGCTAGAAATTGGAGCATTTATTGAGCTTCTGCCAGTCGAAATAGGCGATTTTCAGTCGAAATTCCGTTCTAGGCTACTTTTAAAAGTGATTTCAAGAGTCAAAATGAACCAATTTCAAGGAATTTTTGAGCCTTTTGACCTTCTAAGAGTCGAAGTAGACACTTTCCCGTCAAAAATTCAAATTTTCAGCATTTTAGAAGGTGGGGGTGTTTTCAGCTAAAAAAGAGTAAAAACTCACTCTAAAATCCCTCTCAAACACGGCATTATTCGGCTTCATCGTCGGCATATTCTGATTCTCGACCCACATTCCATCCAAACCATCCTCTCCATATCTCAGCTGGACCATTTGAGCCAACGAGTTTCTTACTGTACCATCGTAATTGACCATGACACTCTCCATGGCTTTGATGAGACGACGCTGGATGTATCCAGTCTCGGCAGTCTTCACAGCCGTATCAATCAAACCTTCACGTCCTCCCATCGCGTGGAAGAAGAATTCAGAAGGCGTTAGGCCGGCGAGATAGGAATTCTCGACGAATCCTTTCGATTCTGGTCCGTAGTCGTCTTTGATGAAGTGCGGAAGCGTGCGGTGACGGAAACCGAATGGAATACGCTTTCCTTCCACGTTCTGTTGACCCACACAGGCGATGACCTGCAAATTTTCAGATATTTTCAGATAGATTTCAGATTTTCAGCTAGTTTGAGCATTTTTCAGAGCTTCGGGGTCAAAATTTCAGATATTTTCAGATTTTTGATAATTCTAGTTCATATTTCCAGCCATTTTCAGATTTTCTAGTGTCTAGGGTCAATTTTCGAGACGAATCCAGATTTTACACTTCTCGGGTCAAATTTTTCAGCTATTTTCAGAAACTCCAGAGTCCATATGACCGTAAAAAAGCGTTTCTGAGCTTCGGTGTCAAAATTTCAGATATTTTCAGATTTTTGATAATTCTAGGTCATATTTCCAGCCATTTTCCGTTTTCCAGTGCCTAGAATCCAATTTAGAGCCGAATTTCAAATTTTACCCATCTAGAGTCGTAATTTTCAGTCATTTCCAGCTCAGGCAGCATTTCTGAGCTCTAGAGTTGAAATTTCAACTATTTTCAGATTCTTAGATTGCCTGGGTCAGATTTTCAGCCAAAATTCAAAATTAGGCGATTTTCACTGTTTTTCAGAGCTCTAGGATTAAAATTTCAGCAATTTTCAGGTTTTTAAGCAGGAATTGTTCTAGACTCAAACTTCAAGCCCTGCCAAACCAAAAACGTCAAACTTGGCCCAAAATACAGATATTGTCAGCCAAAATTGAAGCATTTGCCATTTTCAGCCTTTTTCAGAGTTCCAGGATCAAAATTCCAGCCATTTTCAAATTTTTAGATTACCTAGGTCATATTTTCAGACAGAATTTGAATTTTTCGGCCTTTTTCAGAGCTCTAGCGTTCAAATTTCAGCAATTTTCAGATTTTCAGTCAAAAAATGTTCTAGAATCTAATGTTGAGCCCTGTCAAACGAAAAACGTCAAATTCAAGCCAAATTTCGGATTTTCCATATATTTTTCAGCTATTTTCAGTTTTTCTAGAGTCTGGAATCAATTTTTGAGCCAGTCCAACAGGAAAGGTCAAATTTGAGCCAGATTTCAGATTTCCAAATTAAAAAATCAAATTTTGAGCGTTTGTTTGTCTTCAGGGTCAAAAATGAGCATTTTGGGTTCCAGAACCCAAAATTTCAGTCATTTTCAGCTTTTCCAGTGTCTAGGGTCAATGTTTAGAGACAATTTCAAATTTTACACTACTAGAGTCAAAATTTTCAGGTTTACCTGCGAAATATTAATCTTGGATCCCTTCGAACCCGAAACGACCATCGATTTGAAGTTATTGAACTCAGACAGCGATTTCTGGGCGGAGCTTCCCGTTCGATCACGAGCGTCGTTGAGAATCTGATTCACTTTATTCTCGAACGTCTGTCGGAGCGTGTTTCCAGGCGTCGGCTCCAAATCATCGTTGTGCGCCTTCTCGATAACATCCACGACGTCTTGTTTCGCCTTTCGAATCGTATTCTGAATATCCAGATACGTCGATTGATCCGCAATCGTGTCTCCGATGCCGATGGTGTGTCCTTCTCTCAGCAGCCACGCATTGATCACAGTTTGAATATGGGAGTAGAAGTTGGCCGCAATCTCGTGTCCCAACTCCAGAGCGACGACGTGCAACAAGTTTCCAGCCGACTTTCCCACAGTTTTCGAGCAAACAATTCCAGATAACAGTTCTCCGTGCTCAATCAGCACTTTGGTGTCCCCAGGGGAGATCCATTTGTACGGGCCAGAGTCCTCAGAGTCCGGATGGGTACTGTGGGTTCTCAGGACGTTCACGTTTCCTGGAATGATCAGAGAGAAGACTTGTTTGCCGGTCCACAGCGGTTTTGGCTTCAGAATCGCCGGCTGGGGCACTTTTCCGTCCCAAGTCGGGAGGTACATCAGGAGATCCATCATGAATGGCCAATCGATGAAGATGTCACGTTTGGTCATCATACGGACGGCGCAGAGGGTGTCCTGCACGATACCCATGACTGGTTTGTTGGCTTGTGGCGTGATGAGTTGTCTGGAAATCAGCGAATTTGAAGTTTTGGAGTCATTTTGGGACAATTTCAGCTCTTTCAGCCCGATTTTAAGCGCATTTTCAGATTTTTTCACTGAAAACGAGGAATTTGAAGGTTTAGGCTTATTAGGGTAATTTTTGCGGGTTTCAACTGTATGGAACTTTGAATGTTAGGCTGAAATTCACATTTTGGGCGCACTTTCAGACTTTTCTGGAAAAAAATTTCAAGCTATTTCCAGCAGTTTTTGGGTCGATTTTCATGATTTTTAGGCTGAATTTTTGAAGTTTTAACGTCGATTTTCATGATTTTCAGGTCATTTTTGGCGCATTTCCAATATTTTCACAGTTTTCGGGTTCATTTTTGGGACCATAACTGCCAGAAATGGCTTGAAAACCCTGGTTTTTGGATGATCTTGAGCCATTTTTGGGCAATTTTCAAGCGTATTTTCGATATTTTGAATCGAAAATTGGTCCAGAATCACACATTTTTGTCAATTTTCACGATTTTTAACCATTTCTGGCGATCTTAGGGTCAAATTTAGTCATTTTCTCGCTATTTCAAGACTTTTGACGTCTGGAAATCAGAGAATTCTAGATTTTTCGAATTTTCTGGGTCATTAAACCAATTTGGTCGATTTTAGAGCCAAAATGAGCTGTGGAACTCGGAATTTTCGACCGAATCCCGGTTTCGTGGCCAAAAAACGTCCAATTTGGAGTCTAGGGTAATTAGGACCTGATTAAGACCATAATTAACCTATCCTGGCTCATTTTAGCCCATTCTTCTCGTTTTTTGAACTAGGGATCGTTAGAATCATCAGAAAAACTGAAAATGGTGAGAATTTTGGGTTCTGGTGCCCAAAAATGGCTATTTTTGACTCTAAAAACGTCAGATCTGAAATTGTCTTTCTAGGTCATCGAATACCATTATTGACGATTTCTAAGCCATTTCTGCCGGTTTTAGGGTCATTTTCAACGATTTCTGAGCTAATTCTAGCGGTTTCAGGTTCATTTTCTTGATTTTTAGATCATTTTTCGGTCATTTCAAGCTATTTTCAAGGTTTTAAGCCCAAATTTCTTATCAAAATTCACCTCGGCACCATGGCAATCTCCTCAATCTCGGCTCTCGTCTCCAAACTCTGCGGCAAATGCAGATTCATCTCATCACCATCGAAATCAGCGTTGTACGGTGAGGTGACAGACAGGTTCATGCGGAACGTGGACCATGGAAGAATCTTGACTCGATGTCCCATCATGGACATTTTATGGAGAGTGGGTTGTCGATTGAAAACAATGATATCCCCGTCCTTCATATGCCGTTCCACTCGGTATCCCGGCTGCAAGTGCAAATCCGCCGCCCTCGGATGATATCTCAAATCCACGCGAGCCCCGTTCTCTCTGATAATGTACTTGGCACCCGGGTACTGTGTATCACCGCGATTTACCAGCTCCTGAAGCTTGTCCACGTTGAAAGGCGTCACAATCTCCGGGAACGTTAGATTCTGAGCAATCGTTCTGGGCACGCCTACAGTATCGATGGGAAGGTTAGGATCGGCTGTGATTACGGTACGCGCGGAGAAATCGACACGTTTTCCCATGAGATTTCCACGGATTCGACCCTCCTTTCCTTTCAGACGTTGTTTAATGGATTTCAGGGGGCGGCCGCCTTTTTGGGTGGCTGTTGGGAGACCTGGAATGATGGATTGTGTTAATTTAGGCCAGAAATGTTCTAAAATGCTAAAAATATACACTCAAATTAGCCGTTTTTGCTGATTTTGAGCCTAGAATCCCCAAATTTCCAGATTCTGGAGCCGAAAAGGCCGATGAAAGCCAAATTTTAGTCGAATTCTACCCCAAATTGCAGGAATCTACGCACGAAAAATTGTCTCAAAATGCTAAAACTGTACTGAAATTGGCGCCGAGTTTAGTTAATTTTTAGCCCAGAAATCACATTTTCCGTCGAAATCTCTCGAAGTGCTCGATTTTGAAGTCAAAAATCCAATTTCATCCCAATTTCAGTCCTATTATCACAAAATGCATGATTCTGGAGCCAACAAATACACTTCAATTGCGATTTTCGTCATTTTGAGCCCAGAAATAGTAAATTTTCAGATTCTGAAGCAAAAAATGTACTTGTAAATGAAAATTCGGCGATTTTCAGCCCCGAAAATCGAGATTCTGGGGGCCAAAAATGGCTCAAAGCGCTAAAAATCTCCTCTGAACTACATTTTTTCAGCTGAAATGTCTTATTTCTCAGGTTTATAGGTCAATTTTTGAGCTTTCTGGGATGGTTCTAGCGTCATTTTCAGCACTTTTTCAATGAAATTCTAAATTTTCAGCTCTAGACATCATATTTTGGACAATGCTGGTGCAATTTTGATCATTTTCAGCACTTTTAGGACACTAGTGAGCAATTTCAGAAGTTTCTGGGGTCATTTTCAGCGCTTTTTCAAATTTTTCGAATTTCTGTGAATTTTCAGGATCTATTTTTGGCCCAATTACAGCCCGCTCCGGACCTTTTCCAGCTAATTTCTCTACCTGGAATGCAATTATCTACAAGTGTTGCCACATGGTACTGTAGCAATCGAACATCATCAGTGAGCACATGAGCCGCCGCTCCGTTCGCCTCGTTTCTCTGCAGCTGCTGATTGGTTTTAATGATATCCGATAGCTTGTGTGTTAAATCATCTTGATTTTTCGCCGATCCAAATGTGACGACAGCCGGTCGAACTGCAAGAGGCGGCACCGGGAGTACGGTACAAATCATCCATTCGGGACGTGCGAACTGGGGGTCCATTCCGATGACCAGGATGTCTTCGTCTGTGATTTGTTTGAACACTTCCAGCACTCGCTCGGCTGTCAACATGATTTTGCGCTCTTGGGTGTCCTCGTTGACGTTCTTCTTCCATTCGGCGTTGATGTCGATGCCGACACGACGGTACGATGGTTGGTAGCGACCACAACCGGCTGGAACCTTCTTGCCCTGAAAATTTAGAGCATTCTGGGGTGTTTTAGGGGGGTGAGAGGTCTCATTTTGTCATTTCTAGCTTCTTTTTTGAACTTTTGAGGTGTTTTTGGCAATTTTTGAGACAAAAATGTCGATTTTAGTAGGGTCCAGGTATGATTTTGCCGATTTTCAGTGATTTTAAGCGTTTTTACAGTTGCAACTACGCGTTTTGGAGGATTTTTGAATCAAAAATCGCTGCTTTCTGCTGATTTCCAGATCACACGAAAATTGTCAAATTTCAGAGATTCCAGTGCTAATTTTGGTGATTTCTAGCTGAAATTGGGCTGAAAAGTCATAATTTTTCAGGCTTTTCAGGTCTGAAACTGTCAAATTGGACGCTTCTAAGGGTATTTTACGATGGTTGGTAGCGACCACAACCGGCGGGAAGGGGTTTTTGAGAGGGTTTTAGGGGGTGCGAGGTCTCATTTTGGCTCAAAACAGGGATTTTACGGTCAAAACCAGGCTTTTGGTTGGTCTTTGATTTAAAAATAGGCATTTTTCGACCAATTTTCAGCCATTTCTAACTGAAACTTGGCTGAAAATGTCAAATTTCAGCTATTTTCAGGCTTTTCAGGTCAAAATTATGCCCTGAAAATTTATGCTTTTCGAGGTATTTTAAGGGGTTCTAGGTCTGATTTTGCCATTTTTAGATGAAATTTGGCCCCCATTTTCAGCGATTTTCAGATTTTTTAGAGTCACAATCATGGGTTTTAGGTGATTTTTGAGTCAAAAATGGAAGCTTTTGACCTGAAAATTTAGAGGATTCTGGTGTGTTTTTTAGGGGGTTCCAGATCTAATTTTGGGTGTTTCTAGCTGAAGCGTTTTTCAGCCGTTTTTGAGACGAAAAATGTCGAATTTCCGAGATCCAAGGTATAATTTTAGCCATTTCTAGCTGAATTCAGGCTTAAAATCCGCAATTTTCAGCGATGTTCAGTACTTTTAGAGCTTTTCTAGCCGAATTTTAATTCAAAATCAGTGATTTCTAATGATTTTCAGGATTTTTAGAGTCGAAAAAGGCCTGATTTCTGATGATTTTGAGGCCGAACTATGTCATTTTTTAACGAGTTTCCTCTATTTTTTGGTCTAAAACCATAGAAGCTTGAGGATTCTAGGTCTATTTTTTCCATTTCTAGCCAATTTTCAGCTGAAAAACTGCGAATTTTAGCCATTTTCTGTCAATTTCAAGACAAAAATTGTCGAATTTCAGAGATTTTTGGTCTGAAATCATCGAACATTGACGATTCTAGGTCTATTTCTGCGCAATTTTCAGCGATTTTCAGTATATTTAGAGCTTTTCTAGCCGAATTTTGATTCAATATCACTGATTTCTAATGATTTTTAAATTTCAGAGGTTCAAGTTGAATTATGGCTAAAAATTATCGATTTCCAGGTGATTTTCAGGCTTTTAGGGTCAAAATGGCGCGTTTTCAGTGACTTTAGAGTCGAAAATGCCGGATTTCTGACGATTTTCAGGTCGAACAATGGTCTAAAACCATCAAAATTAGACGATTCTACGTTTATTTTTGCCATTTCTAGCCGATTTTCCGCTCAAAAATCGCCAATTTCAGCTATTTTCAGTCAAATGTGGGCACTTTTTGCTTTCAAAATATGATTTTCAGATCAAAAAGAGTGTTTTCGGCTATGAGACAAAAATTGTCGAATTTCCGAGGTTCTAGCTGATATTTGGCTGAAAATTATCTATTTCCAGGTGATTTTCAGACGTTTCGGGTCGAAATAGCGCGTTTTCAGTGATTTTCAGGTCAAAAATCGTAGAATTTCAGACATTCCAGGTCTAATTATAGCCATTTATAGCTGAAAATTCCAAAATTTCCGACGATTTCAGAGATTTTTTGGTCTATTAGGTTGGCGGGAAAGTCTTTGTCACTTTTTCAATAGTTTATTTCTCAAAGAAAAAATAACCGAATAATTAATTATATTGTCCATCATTATCAACAACATGTCTCCAACGTTCCCTCAATTTATGGATTCCATTGCGGTAGAATCCAGCCGGGCGTGAGGCAAAGTATTGTTTGAGTGCCGCTTCGACCGCTCCACGGGAATTGAAGCTTCTTCCTTCGAAGGCACGTGTCATATCGCCAAATAACCAATAGTCGGAAGGAGCAAGATCAGGAGAATACGGGGGGTGAGGGAGAACATTCCATCCATATCCCATCAGCTCCTGCTTCACTTGTTTCGAAACATGTGGGCGAGCGTTATCATGTTGATAGTACACTTTCTTGTCTTTCAGGGCCGAACGGTCGACTGCTTTCTTGAGGTTTCGTAGTTGAGTAGTGTAGAGGTCTCCAGTTATTGTTTTGCCCTCGGGCAGAAGTTCCCAGTAGATGGGGCCGTCCACTCCCCACCACACAGAGAGCATAACTTTTTTCGGATGAAGGCCGGGTTTGGGGACATCCTGTGGGCTCTCTCCTTCTCCAACCCACTGGGATTTCCTGTGGTGATTATCGTAGAAGACCCACTTCTCATCTCCGGTTATTAGCCGGTCCAGCCATCGATCGCCCGCGTGGAGAGTGAGAAGAGTAATCGAATCGTCGACTCGGCGGTCAAGGTTGGCTTGAGTCAGGTGATGAGGTATGAATCGACCAAGAAGTTTTCTCATTCCAAGAGACTTCAAACCTTCAAGGACTGTGCTATGGTGAACTCCGAATGTGACAGCTAGTTCACGGCTAGATTGAAATGGATCCGATTGCAATGCGTGCTTCAGCTTGTCCAAATCCAACTCACGGGGTCTCCCAGAGCGATCCTTTTCATCGAGCGAGAAGTCATCTTTTTCGAAACGATGGAACCAATTGCGAATAGTATTGTAGTGAGGGGCATGTGTGTTGTACACATTCTTCAAGAAAGTTTCCGAATCCTTCATCGTGGTGTGAGATAGGAAGAGGTAAATCAAAACATGTCTGATGTGAATAGCAGTGGGAACAAACATATCGTTTCAATTACAGATGAGGAGCAGGGAAGGAGATGGGGACTTGTTTATATGGAAGGTTCTTATCACCTTGTTATTCACTAAAGTCGATATCATACACAGCCTCCATATACGAGAACAGTGATTAAACAAACAGAGTGACAAAGACTTTCCCGCCAACCTAATAAAATCATCGAAATTTAACGATTCTAGGTTCATTTTTGGCTGTTTCTAAACAATTTTCAGCTGAAAAACTGCGAATTTTAGCTATTTTCAGTCAATTTCAAGACGGAAATGATAAAATTAACAAGATTTTGGCAATTTTTTCACTGGATATTTTCAAATTTAATAGGTTCCAGGTTTATTTTTGCCATTTCTAGCCGATTTTCAGCTCAAAAATCGCAAATTTCAGGCTGAAATTCGGGAATTTCAGCAATTTCCAGCCCACACACCTCATTCATCGGATCATCCATATCATCTGGCAGTCCATCCTCCTTCTCTGCGGCACCCTCACACACGGATTTCGATTTGCAGAGATCATAGATCAGCGCCAGTCGCTTCTTCGGATTCCCACTCGTCTTTTTGAGAATATCCATGACACGTGGATTCGTCTTATCAATCAGAAGACGTCCGCAGTAGAAGCAGACGCAACGAAGGATTTTGAGGGATTTTGTGAGGAATCCAATGTGAAAAACGGGCTTCGCCAGTTCTAAATGACCGAAATGGCCGGGGCAGTCGGTGAGATTTCCAGCACATGTCATACATCTGGAAATAGCCGATTTTAGAGGGTTTGGGAGTGGAAAATCATGGTTTTTGGGGGTTTTAGAGGCCAAAAATTGTCATTTAGGAGCTGAAAATGGCTATTTTCAGCAATTTTTTTCACATCAAAAAATGAATTTTCAGCTGAAAAGGCACATTTCGGAGTCGAAAATGACAATTTTCCAGTCATTTCGAGCTAGAAAATCGCGATTTCGGGATGGAAAAGTATGATTTTAGACTGAAAATCGTATTTTAAGAGCTGAAATTTCCTAATATCAGCTTAAAAACGACATTTTCGGAGTCGAAAATGACAATTTTGAAGTTTTTTTTTGAGCCTAAAAATATGAATTTCAAGCATTTCGGGATAAATAATCATAATTTTGGCAGGTTTTAGAGCAAAAAATTGGTCATTTTTAGGCTGAAAATCATAGTTTTAAAGCCGAAATTGATATATTTTCGGTCATTTTCAACCAAAACAAACTGTCCGGCTCGAAAACCAAATTTCAGAGTGAAAAACGACGATTTTGAGGTTTTTTGAGCCAAAACTAACATTCTACAGTTTATTATGAGCCTGGACGAGCTTTGAAAGCGATCAAAGGCCAGAAATTGGCCATTTTCGCTATACAACGATTTTTGTCGATTTTGGAGAATTTCAGTATGAAAAATCAGCATTTTTAGGGCATTTTCCAGCTATTTTCACCCAAAAATCCCATATTCCTGCTCGAATTCCCTAACCTTCCACGACGATCAATCACTCCCTGGCGCGGGTCCATCAGACCGCCCATTTTGGGTTTTCCGTTCTCGTAGACCTCGGGAAACTCGACATGAGCCACTGACATTCGTTTCTGAAAAAAAAATCTCGAGATTTCAGCCATTTTCAGCCACTTACAATCTCCTCGGGTCCCAAAATTCCGAACTGCACACGGCAGACGGTTCGGAGAGGAGCCTGAAAGTCGACTCCGACGAGAGCCATCTGCGGTGTTTAGGTGTGCTGATTGGCAATCTAAAATTAATATTTTTCGTGGAATTTTGACCGGAAAATGGGAAAAAACGGCGAAATACGGATAAAGTTGAAAAAATCGATGAAAAGGCCATTTTTCAGTGATTTTCACATCAAAAACTGAATTTTCAGCTGTTTATAACCATGAAATGCGAAAAAATTCGAACTTTTTCGTCATAAAAAACCTGTTTATCACATAGAAAAATTTCGAAACATTTCCAACCCATTTTTCAGCTTAAACACCCATTTTTCAGTCGAAATTTATCGATTTTTAGGTTTCTGACCCTCAAAAACCCATATTTTCATTTATTTTCCACTTTTTCCCACGAAAAATCACTGAAAATCGCAAAAAATCGCTAGCGGTAAACGCGAAAAAAGTTAAAAAATAGAAGGCGAGACAGTGTGCGAAAAAAGGAGACGCAGGAATCGCTGCGAGACCCACGAGCGGAGAAACTTGCTGCGCCTTTGAAGAAAATTGGTGGGAAGGCAAAGAATTTGAATTCCATCGGCTTTTTTAGGTAATTAAGCTTAAATTAAGCGTAACACCTGTAACAAAAGGGTTTCGTGGGAGAAAATTAAAGAAAAAAAAAAGAAAAAATTTAGGAATTTATTAAGTGCATAATTATTGGATAATTACTCGAAAAAAAGCAAAATAAAGATAAAAAATGTATTTTTCCAAAAAAATTCAAATTAATTAACTTAAATCAATTAGAGCTAATTAAGACAATCAGTAGTGGTTCCGGTGTACTTGTTCGCCAAGTTTAGTGTTCCAATATCGTAGGTTCTCTCCGGCGAATAGCCCCAAGTGATATAATTATCCGGAATTGTGATTCCAAACTTCTTATAACACAATCCCATATAATTACATTTATGATAAACATTCAATTTTGGGTCAATCGTCGAAATTTCTCGCTTTCTTCCAGTTATCTGGAAGATTCCATTGGTGTCTGTATACACTTCGGCCATTTTTCGATCGAGGACTGAAAATAGCATAAATTAGAGGTTTGAAAATGCAATATTAATAATTTCCAAGTTTTAAGCTTCAAAATGAATTTAAACACCATTAATTTTGATCAAGTTTGGAGGGTATTGCGCCTTTTTAAAGTTGATGGCCGAACTTTTTCACCTGGTGGCCTAAAAATCAGTTTTCGGCTATTTAAAATTATACCATTGTATTTGCCGTGAAAAGGGCTTCAAAATGAGCCTAAACACGACTAGGTTCCGTCTACTTTGGTTTTTCCAGCGCGTCGCGGTTGTGCGTCGCGTGTCGCATGACAAACTCAAAGTAGGCGGAGCCTAGTCGTGTTTGGGCTCATTTGAAAGCGCTTTTTAAGACAAAAACAGTGAAATAACTTTCATAGGATGAAAATTAATTCCTAGGCCAACAAGTGGGAAAGTTCGGTCACCAACTTTCAGAAGCTACAGTACCACTTAAATTGGGTCAAGTGGGGTTGTGTTTGGGCTCATTTTAAGCCGCTTCTTACGATAAATTCGAAAATATAACTTTTATCAGCATTGAACAAACATTTCAAGGACTACGGTATTGTGAAGACCTGGAAAAATTTTGGTGGCCGAACTTTTGCAACTGGTGGGCTAAAAAATGATTTCTGGCTATTGAGAATTATACCAATGTATTTGCCGTGAAAAGGGCTTTGAAATGACACTAAACACAACTAGGTTCCGTCTACTTTGATTTTTCGGGTGCGTCGCGGTCGTGCGTCGCGTGTCACATGGAAAATTCAAAGTAGGCGGAGCCTAGTCGTGTTTGGGCTCATTTGAAAGCGCTTTTTACGACAAACACAGTAAAAAACCTTTCATAAGAGGAAAATGTATTTCTAGGCCACCAAGTGCCAAAATTAGGTAAAAGTTAGGCCACCAACATTCAGAAGCTACAGTACCCTTAAAAATAGGTCAAATTGGGTCGTGTTTGGGTTCATTTTGAAGCTTAGAATTTGAGGAATCTGTCAAAATTTATGAAAACTCACAAAACTCTTTTTCATACATCTTAACCTTCACACCAGCCGCTGGCCGTCCCTCACAAATGAGGCGTCCACTGACAGCGACACTCTGAAGACGTCCGACGCCCAAAAGTCCATGAATACAGGATGCAAAAATTGCGAGAAATAGGAGAAATTGCATTGGGAGGTAATAGGAACGCATCTGAATGTGATATATGGGTTATTAGGGAAAAGGGGGCGGAGCCTAGGTGGCTGATAAGATAATAGATATATATAGTAGGGGTCATTTTTGATAAGAATTACATTGATTGGATAGCAAATATTGATAAAAACAAAAAAATAGACAATTTTTGATAGCTACAGTAGGTTTTGAGTTATGCGCCTTTAAAGAGGCGTCCTGGAGTGTTCAAAGGCGCATAACTCAAAAACTACAGTAGCTATGAGAAAGTTGTCAACTACAAAAATGTGTAAAATATTATGCTAAGTAATTTTGCATTTAACAATTTTTAAAAATCTACCGTAGTCTTGGAGTTATGCGCCTTCAAAGAGAGACGCTACCTGGACAGTTTGAAGGCGCATAACTCAAAAACTACGGTAGCTATTAAAAACCTGCAAATTACAAAAATATGTAAAATTTAATGCTAAGTAATTTTGTAATTGACAACTTTTTTCTAGGTACTGTAGTTTCTGAGATATGCGCTTTTAAACTATCCACAGGAAAATGAGCGCTACGCTTTCGTCTCTTTAACTGCGCATATCTCAAAAACTACGGTAGCTATCAAAAAGTTGGCAATTACAAAAATATGTAAAATTTAATGCTGAGTAATTTTGTAATTAAAAGTTTTTTGATAGCTACTGTAGTTTTTGAAATATGAAACATTTGTGATAAAAACATACCAAATACCTTGTGACTACACCGAGTCTTAAATACTTACCGGTTTTGTCCATTTGAGCAAATTTGCATAATCTGTATGTAAAAATGACTAACACTTTGGCGCTCTCTGGAACCTTTTTCACGTGTTGTTCAGCGAATTCGGGAGAAAACTGGAAAAAGTTCGGTCAATTCATTTTCTTAGGGCATTTTTTGGATCTGAAAAGGGGCGGAGTTTGATTTTTTATCTAATTTTTGAATTTCGCAATTTGAACCAATCAGCATAAGTCTAAACATGCCGAGATTTGGATTAATTTAAAGGTTTTTAAAGCCAAAAAACGATAATAGTGGAACAATGGCCGAAGTTTAGCATCTGGTGGCCTAGGAATGCATTTTCATCTCATGAAAATTGTTTCACTGTATTTGTCTTGAGAAGCGCTTCAAAATGAGCCCAAACACGACTATGCTCCGCCCACTTTGAATTTTCGCGGAGACACGCGACGCACGACCGCGACGCGTCAGAAAAATCAAAATGGACGGAGCCTAGTGGTGTTTGGGCTCATATTGAAGCCCTCAGTGGATTTGAATTCAAATTCTTCACAAGTCCCGTTCCAAAATGAGTCTAAACACGACTTTAGGATTTTCAGCAAAAACTCTTTTTTGGCTGGAAAACTCAAAATTGCAAAGTTGAGACGCAGAAAAATGTATTTCAATGTGATTTTTTGATGAGTCACGCAAATCTATATTGACTTTTCAACTTTTCCAAAAGTCCACAGACTGACGGGGGACCAACAGACGCCTCTAGCGTTTTATTTATAAGGAAGATTGTCAGGTCCATCAAAGAAATTTGAAGCGACTCCGAGAAGCTCAGCAAAAACAGAGACAGCAGCAAAACACAGAGCAATCGTTTACTCACCCGTGGAGACCAGTTCCCTCAGAATTCGCACTGAGGTACCTCTATGCTAAATCCAATTTATCTTGCCTCGTTTGGAAGATATCGAAACACGACCAACTGATAAAATGTAGCTGATAATATGTGAAACATTTCATCAGTTGACCACTTTCTGATATCTTTCACAGGGACCAAGATATTTGAACTCAAAGTTCAGAAGGTCTTTTAGTTGGACTCCTCGATCATCTAGAACCAACTTCGGGTGATTTTCGAGTTTTTGAATTGATTTTCGACCCTTTTCAGCCAAAGATCTACTGAGGCGTATTTTAAGCATGTTTTTCCAGGGATATGGTCAAGCGCAGAGACCACCACTGCAGCCGAGGAGGATACTGATGACGAGTTGGATGACGAAGAATACGATCTGGAGAACGTGATCCAAACCTCGGGATTTTGATGACGATGGTCCACCGATGGTTGGAGTCTAGGATTTTCTAAATTTCTCTTTTATTTTCTAAATCTAAAACTTCTAAAATTAATGTTTATTTATTATCTCTGCTTCACATCTCTCTCCCTACCCACTTCATTTTACTCATATTTCCCTTCGCTTTTTTATTCTCGGTTATTTATGCCTTGGCCGAAAAAATGTTTACCCAATGTTGTAAATTATCCGCCGTTTATACTTGTAAAAAATCAATAAAGTTTCCTGTCAAAAAAAATAGAATTTGTTAAAATCGAAAAGTTTTTTTTAAATCCAAATTTCAAGGTTACAGAATGAAAATACCCAGAAACAGTTGTTTTTACCGTGTTAGTTGCGTTGCGAGCTTCAAAATGAGCCCAAACACGANTAGGTTCCGCTCACTTTCATTCTTCAAGCGCGTCGCGGTCGTGCGTCGCGTGTCTCCCTGGAAAATTCAAAGTAGGCGGAGCCTAGTCGTGCGTGGGCTCATTTTGAAGCTCGAAACAAACTGAGTTCAATGAAATAAATATTTTATAGCTTTGAAACTAATTGAATGAGAAAATTTGGAAATTCAATTTTGAAAAACGATTTGAAATTTTTTGAGATCGTTTTTTTTTCAATTCCTAGCAGATTTTCTGAGTTTTGATTAATTTTATTGCGTTCAGCTTGTTCTGTGCTTCAAAATAAGCCCAAACACGACTAGGTTCCGCCCAATTTGAAATTCCCCCAGGGACACGCAACGCACGACCGCGACGCGCTGGAAAAATCAAAGTGGGCGGTGCCTAGTCGTGTTTGGGCTCATTTTGAAGCTCACGTTCTCAGAAAGATGAATATAGCGTTTAAAACTATCTAGGATTGCTTTTTATGGAGTTATGTGCGATTGGAAAACTAGGAATTTCAAAATTGAAGCCTTATAGGCCTTTTTAACGAAAATGTCAAAATTAAAGCTGTAAGATTTATTGTCATAATCAATTTCTGAGATTTTAAAACCGAAAATCAATAATTTATCGTCGTGTTCCATCCTCAAAGAACACTCCACCATCAATAGCACAATATTTCGGGCAGATACCCTTCTCTCCCTTGGCACCAGCTGGTCCAGCGGGTCCCGGCG